TTACAAGTATTCATAATTAATGTTACATAAAAATTATCTCGGAATTTTTTTTAGATCTTACTAAATATTAATCATAAATTCAGTATGTATGATCCGCCCGACTCTGGCTGATTCCCCAGAGGGGGTAGGTGCCAATTATCATCATGATCATAATCATCATCATTCTTTTCCTTAGGGGCATCATCATCATCAATTAGGGGCATCATCATCATCGTCATAATCATCATCATCATTCCTTTCCTGAATGATGCTTTTTTCCCTTGCACGGCTTATTCCTTCTGTCGTCTGTGTCAAATGTTGGCGACGTCAAAGTGTCTCCGTCGATGTTTACAGGCTCGGGCGTGCTATTCCTCAGAATCGTTTCTCGTAAGACAAGCGCACGAATAAGAAGTTACAACGGTTCCGTGACCTAGTGCAGACATTAGCAGCAAGCAGCCGCCCATTCTCTGACGATCGCCTTTTCCACGCTACACTCTAGGAGGCTCGAAATAGACACCCTTCGCCGAGCCGAGCTCGCGGCAGCACGAAAGGCGCACGATGCAGGCTCCTGAAAATGGGTGTATACCCGTGCTTCGTAAAATGGACATATGCCGGTCGTTCGAAAACTGTAGTCGTCGATCACTGCGCAGCTGTGCAAAACGAAGAACTTCTCCTGTGCAGCATGGTAGCATATGAGTAGAACGTTTTGCGCTTAGTTATATACAAGCTCAACATTTGATTGTCCTCTTTCGCAAGTTAGGTGAGAGCAAGAGAAACTTAATTGATTGCTTCAACAACACCGAGAGTCTGAGAGAAACGGCAAGCAGATATATTGACGACGAGATCGAATCTCCTCTTTAGCCACTCATTGTAATGATCACGCTGTAACTGCGCGTGTGCGCATGTGCGTGTTCGTACCTTGAGCCGAAAGTCTGCGAAAATGCTCTCCTCGGGGTACTGCATGCATTTCAGTGTGGCTGAACTGCAGGCAGCAATGCTGAATATCTATCTATCTATCTATCTATCTATCTATCTATCTATCTATCTATCTATCTATCTACTATCTATCTATCTATCTATCTATCTATCTATCTATCTATCTATCTATCTATCTATCTATCTATCTTGCCTTGTATGTATGTATGTATGTATGTATGTATGTATGTATGTATGTATGTATGTATGTATGTATGTATGTATGTATGTATGTATGTATTTCGGTGTGGCCACGGTCGTGTTGAAGGCGCGAAACGCAATGAACAAGAACTGAACAAAGACAGCAACTGGAAAAAAATAATAAAGCGCATAGGTAAGGTAAGTCTTATGTGATCTCCCTTCTGTCAAAGGAACGAAAGTTGGCGATACGTGGGAAGGGTTTGTTTTGTCACAGACGCTTTCACCCTGATGACGTCAAGCACATGACCTTTACGGCACCACGACTTGCGAGGAGGGGACCAGGAAAACGAAGAAGCGTGGGTTGGCTTTTACTGAATTTGCCATTTTTCCACCGCCGCGGTGGTCTAGTGGCTAAAAAAGGTACTCGGCTGCTGACCCGCAGGTCGCGGGTTCGAATCCCGGCTGCGGCGGCTGCATTTCCGATGGAGGCGGAAATGTTGTAGGCCCGTGTGCTCAGATTTGGGCGCACGTTAAAGAACCCCAGGTGGTCTAAATTTCCGGAGACCTCCACTACGGCGTCTCTCGTAATCATAAGGTGGTTTTGGGACGTTAAACCCCACATATCAATCAATCAATCCACGGTGCGCAGAGCTGTCACGTTTTTCACGGATGATTGTCGAAGAGGTTGGTGCAATGCACGCGCTTATCTAAAGATATGGTCTTGACGTCATGGGTCACGTGATGCACCTTTGCGATCAACCCGTTATCCTATACCTTGCGCGCGCAGACCAGTGTATTCGCGCAAGGAGGGAGATGCACGGTGATCCCCATATTTTTGCTTCTAAATCAACTGCTTTTCCAACATTGCAAGAACTCCGTTTGCGCGATTTAATAAAATAATGGCCAAAAAACAGCTTGACCATGTTCACTACGGAGCGTACACCAGCAAGGCAAACATACTTCATCTTCAGGAGGTCGAAATACTCTTGATATTGGGAGTTAAACATGATATGAACTACGTACAGTCTCACATAATCGAGCCACCAGCGTTATAATTACTTTTTTTTTTAACTGTATACGTACAAAGTATAGAGGAGCGAAATAGAACGGGTCAACGTAAAAAAATAATAAACCATAATGGGGATGTGCGCCGCTCTTAAAATCTTTGCACCTAATTACCTGGCTCTTCAGATGCATAGGTGTATTGGTCCCTTGACCCACTTTCTGAAACGAGTTTAATTACAACGGCGCCACCAGGAATCAGAGTCACTCAAATTGTCTCGGCGTCCTCGCGCGTACAAGTGATCTCAGCTTCCATTTGGTTTGCTTAACCAAATAGTTATAAGCATCGCGTTGTGGACTGAAAGTTCAATAATAGCTACGATAATGGCGCGACAGCTGTTATGCTTCACTACGCGAGCACAATATGCGCAAATTTTCTTTCAGTTCAAGTCTTGTGATGTACTAGTGCAGCCTCTTGAGGCGGTGATGTATGTGGACATTGCTATAGTTTAACACCAGGGTTATTAAATAGGAACGTTAAATTTCCTCCGTGCCTGGTTGTGTCGGGCACTTCATAATGGAAGCCGGCATTGACCCACGTATATCTAGTATACACTCTTGGCGTTAAATGTTTAGGGTCCGCGAGAAACAAGAAAAAGCTGCATATATACGGACTACTTCGGTAGGCATCCACTGAACTTCGACTTCTAAACTTTTTGGCGCCGAGTGTGCATGCTATCAACGTAGGCGCACCTAGATTTCAAGCACTCATCACTCTAAACATATTATGTATAGTGTAACAGTGACGCGGACAATGAACTAAGATGACGTGATGGAAATAGTGATTATGCTTTTATGATTTACTGCTGAATACGAGCTCTCGTGTAGTATATGTTCGTTCACATTCAGTGTCGTTAGGCCTTCGATTGTTCAGTTCACCCTCACTCCAAAAAAAGATCGACTAAATAGGGCGCTTATTTGTCCCACAACTGTAATCGTCATTTATCTTGCGTTCATTTTCTTGTACTATCGCAGAGCGCCCGACGCTTTCATGTCACGAACGGCATGCGCGTTATCAACGTGACATAACGCTCTTGATAGGAAGTGGCTAGTGTTGGGTATTCAACAACAACAACAAAAAAAAGCGCAAGCAAGCCGAATGGTGATTATTGTAGTAGGACAATAAGACACCCTTTTTACTCGTTTTTTTTTTTTTAGAGTGCTGGCGGCGCCCGTGCCGGCCATATTAAATTTAGTTGGCTCAGGAGGTGACCGTATCGTAGAGTTCTCGGTCCTGGGTTCGAATCCCCAGCAAAGGCGAGTTCTTTGTCAAATGTACAGCTTTCTTTCTGAGAAACCCGTGCAGATTTTTGCAACAAACGGCTAGATTAAGATTTTTTTCCCACTGCTACAAATTTCTGACTACAGAACCATTACGAAAAGAGTGGTATGAACACAAGCGCTATATCTGACATTCCTTTTATTGTCCTCTAAGTCCCGGGTCTGTAATTGTTGTACATATAAACGCCGATTGATTGATTGATCGATTGATTGATTGATAGATGCGTGTTGTTTAACGTCTCAAAACCACATTTAAACGTCGATATAACGAAGTCGGTGAAGTTTGAAGTTCACCTCATAATATCGAAATTTTGTTAAATTGAAATTCCACCTTTTAAGTTTCCGAAGGTTTCTACTTTTGCACAGAATGTGCCCGAATAATGTTCGGGGTTTCGATAAGTACGTTCTTTGGATAAATAGCTGAATTTTCGTTTTTTTTTTGTGGAACTAATTGTAATGTGCAAACTCTCAGAACGTACGAAGGCATGGAGCAACAGCCTAAAAGCTAATTTCATTAACCTGAAAAAAATATTTTTTTTAACCCTGAGATCAGTCGATCGCGGCTTTATGTGGTGCCAGCGAGAAAAAAAATCACACGAGCCAAATGTCTGTTGTGAATCCGAAAGCTAGGTCCAACGCACTGCTAGGTCCAGCTAGGTCCAGCTAGGTCCAACGCACTGTGGCAATATAAAAAAAGCGCTCGCAAAAACTGTGCGCAACTCATAAACTTTCCTACATTGTCATTTACCTGTATATGTAATATGGCTGACGTTGAGCTTTCTGATGTAATGTTTCCCCGGTTAGTTTTGGAGTCCGGCAATTGAGCACCAGTGGCATTCCCGAATAAGTTTTCTATGTCAATCACGGGATGGAACTCGGTTGCTACCACGCAAATGATTTATATGCATATAGTCGTTCTATTACGACTTCGTACGTTCTTGTGAGTTTACGCATAACATTTAAGGCCTGAACATTTTAAGTACCGCAAAACGATTCCATTTATTCATCCCGGTAAACTACGAACTTATCGAAACCTCGAACGTGCGCCACAAGCCTGCATTCTAAAGTTCGTTCGCGTAAAGCGTAAAGATGCATTCGCGCACTGAAGCGGCGATAATGCTTTCGCATTCGCGCTGGATGCGAAGGGGTTGGGTTGCACGTCCGCATTATCATTACGAGTCTCAAGAGGGGGTCCTCCCCCCCCCCCCCCTACACCCGCTCGCCACTCGTGCTATAAACGGGTCGCAAAGATGCCACGCGAGCCCTTGAACGTCACTTCCGCACGCACGCACGACTTCCGCTTTCCCAAAGAGCGATCATGCTAGAGTTAACTAACCACTCCGACAAAAGCAGCTCCCAAAGCGACGTAGGCAGCGACAGAGGCTCTGATCTACCCTCTGTTGTGAGCTGGCGCATCCAGTTCTGGTTCAGGGGGGTTCCTCTCCCCCGGTTCCGTGCTTCCCCCTCTTTCTGCCGTTCCTCTCGAACCCCCTTTCAGGCGACGTGAGAGCGAGAAAGGGCAGGTCCACTGGGGAGGGAAAGGGGAGACTCGTCATTCTACGTGGAGCCCGACCGACAACGCGTTGCAGCCCGACGATCGGGTGTCGTCGTTCCGCGTCTCGGTTGGTTCGCGAAGCGAACGAAGAAAAAAAAAAAAAAAAAGACCGCGCAGCCTCTCCGCGTTGATCGTGACCGAGCGAGCATTTGAGTGCGCAACGCCGACGGTGTGTCGTCGCCGCTGCCGCCGTGCGACCGACCAACACGATGGAATAACAGCTCATCGGAAGCAGTGTCGCCGACGATCGGGCTAGAAGCCGCGGGCCGCCTCTTTGTCCCCAACAGCACAACTCTTCAGGGCTGTGCGTGCTCTCTCGGCTTGTCGCTCGCAAAGGTATGACGCCTTGTGTCATTAAGCACGCTCGTTCGTGTGTGTGTGTGTGTGTGTGTGTGTGTGTGTGTGTGTGTGTGTGTGTGTGTGTGTGTGTGTGTGTGTGTGTGTGTGTGTGTGTGTGTGTGTGTGTGTTGAGGAAAACAAAAGTGCTTTTCCGCGAAAAAGTGACGCTCTTTATATTTCTTTAACTTGAACTGAAGGCCGGCCACGTACTTTCGTGCGCTTGTTTCTTTTCAAACTTGCTCCCGCGCGTGAGGTGAAGATGCCGGAATACTGGTTCCGCGGCCGCCGCCGGCCTAACGTGCGCGGCATCTATGCGCGGTCCGGCTCCGTGCATCTTGCTACCGGCCTCGTCGGTGACGCAAACGGCTAAGCTATGCCGGAAAAGAGCGCAGCTGGCGTGTGTTTGGCTGGGCGTGTGATTTAGGCTATCTCATCGTGCACTTGTAGAGTCATCCTTCGCGTCACTGATTGTATCTCTACTAGTTACATGAAGTTATTTCGTTTCGCGCGTTGCATCAAACAGTGTCAGCTTTATCGAAAAGGGTACCCGAGGAACCGTATGTCTATTTGCCTTAGGTGACATCCGCAGCGTTACCACACTTTTAGAAGTCAACTCACTTCATTTGTGGTGCAAGTGAAACAACCTGCCGGCGCCAGTGAATAAACCAATAGAAGCATGAAATATTTGCATGTATTTATGCTTCCGGGCTTACATTTCGATAACATCCATTAATGGTGCTGGTGCTAACGTGCGGAGCCGTTTGATGCTGTACATGTTTCAGTACGATAAGGCAAATATGACTTCTAGTTTGCTTTTGAGGGAGGCAAACCGGGCGAGGGAAGCAACAGAGCGACGATGCAAACGCGCCAGCTAATAACGAATATTCTGTACGTAGTGTATCACATTAAACGGCCGTCAATGCAATCACATTCTTTACGTGTCAACGTTAGTGCTCTCATTTAGGATAGGACAAAAATAAGCATATTTCGGTAAGCGCGCCTAAATCTTCGCGCTTCACATGCATATACGAGGCTTATTCAAAAAGTTAAAGCCGTTTGGTCCTCAAGAAATAAATATTCGCTAGTAAAAGCTTCTATTGGCAGGTTCAGTTTAATACAACCCCAGTTCACTTTTACACGTAATAACCGTGAACTTCTAGGCACCTTTGGCACCGCTGCAACAGTTTCTTTAGTCTCTCTGCAAAGTTCACCGCCTGGGAATTTTTCGATGACGAGTTGGTCGGTAGTAATTATTGGTAGCTTTCAGCTTGCACACACTGTGAATTCTGAGTGTGAATTTCGGAGCATTCAGCGAAGGGGAATCTATTCGACAGGCTACAAACTGTCAGTCGTTGATTTAATCACTATTATCGGCCTATTTGTCGGCCTTGATGATTAGCTTGCCATTCCGCTATTTACCGTGCAAAAAAAAAAAAAGAGAGAGAGAGAGAAATAGGCAGATTCCACGTACCTTCGGAATCAATGTTAAGTGAAGCATGCGGATAGAAGGCGACTGTGTTGTAATTTTTGATTGATCGAAACGTTACGAAGTGGAGCTAAATATATGTGCAAATGCACCCACCGACATTCGTTTAACAACCGCATATGTATTGCATTGAAGTTGTTCGCAGTTGCGTAAATATGCCGACAGCAACACGGACATTTGCATCACCAGAAGCGGTAAGCTGATATGAAGCGCTGGTGCTTGCGAGGATGGTAGCCCTGGACACTGCTACATAGATGAACCTCAGCGGATGGCGCCCAACTACAATTGATGTCAACCCGACATGACGGCTGTATCATAGGAGTGCATATATAATGTTTATAAAATTCGATATCCAGTACTGCAACCAGTATCGACGTTTCTTGAACATTAAGGTTTATTTGAAAAGTAGTTCCGGGATCTAGCGTGGCTCTCTGGTATACCAGAGAGCATCAACAATTCTATAGAATGCTAGAGTTCAATTCCTGCTGGGACCCTAACATTTATTCTTTCCATTAGTCTGGTCAACGCTGGTGATCTCAGTTTCTTTTCTTAATGCTCATGCGTTCAGATTACCCGTGTGTGTTCTAGCCGTTCCTGGGTAGATATAAGTGTCAGTCACCTGTGGCACATACCCGCCCGCGGTTTCCACCAAGACTACTGTCTTGGCGGAAAGTGTTTGACGATGTATACGCGACGGAATTGTGACATTATTCATGCCATGACCAGCGAGTCGTATTCTTCAAGCCATCTCATCCTCGTATAATAATTAATTTCGGTGTACCCTAAGTTGAGGGGATTGGTCATATGAGGGCAACTAGATAGATGATAGATAAATGGATGGGCGCTCTAAGTGCCTGCTGTGTACACAAAGCAATGCTTCGCGTTTAAAAGTACGGCAATTTGTAAAGTATGGGTGCCATTTTCTGTCCTTTCTTTTCCTCATCACTGTAGGTTCATAAACTATGGGCACAGCTCCCCGTGTGTGTGGGATGCTGATGACCCTTTTGTCTGCGAAAACCTAATTACAGCTCGAACTTCCCAACATTGTGGGAGCAACGACGCTCGCGGACACGGTTTCATCTCCGTTGCCCGTCAAGCAGATGACTATACTGAGCCTGAACAATAACCTCGGCACCTTGCTGGAGAATGACTCTGCACAAATAAATATTTATTCTGACGCGTAAATACTTTAATACTAAAGAACGACCCTTACTTCCTGAATAACTCTCGTACTTTTGGCAATCTATACAGTGACTGTTGACACTCACTAAGGTTGCGTACGTGTGTTGAAGAATAAATATATTCTGGAATATCATTATGAGGCGTGGTGTTGTTGCGACCTCCGTGCACAATTTATCGATCTCTTATGCACGCTGCAAGCGTGTTTATATGCGTGCGTGCGCATACACACACGCAAAATTGAAAATTTTTGGGGAAGAGAGCAGGGGGGTTGTTGACAACCCCTTGTGGCCACATTTATCGAAATGGGGACGTGACAGATGGGGCCTTTGGGGCTGCATGCCGCTACCTTGATTCCACGGCAGTGTTTTGGCAGTGATGCGAAGAAAAGCAGTCTATAGGTTCGGAAAGGCTGTGCGAATGTATTTGCATATCTAACTTACCCTGCTAAAAGCAGGCCATGAACGGCAACTTATTCGCACCTCTGAATGAGTAGTTCCCATGCGGTCAATTAAAGGTGTTAGCGTGTTTGTCGGGAGCGTTAATTGTAAAATTTTATGTGTATTGTAATGATTGAGAGGTGAACGGATGGCGTTTCGTATAATACGTGAACCTTGAACGAACGGACAGCTGACCATCAGTAAGCCCTCGGATAGTATATATATATACACGAAGGCATCAAGTCCGCCGGATACGAGACTTTCGCTGTGAATTGAAGGGAATTTTTTTAGCCTTCACTCATGTATGCATTCATGTTACAGCAGTGTGTCGTAGAATTTGTTGTTCAGTATAGAGCCGGTAATACCACTGGAATATTTGCCTTTGCACTGCTGCCATCTTGCGCAACCGGTGCTGAATGTCATTAATACTTACCTTTCCGCATATTTCTGTGTCGGCCTCTCTGTGTGTGTGCTCGGGCATTTTTTTTCGCCTTCTATCCGCATGCTTCGTTTTCTTCAATGACAGCAGGAAGTCTTTTTTGTACGTACTTTTTTGTTAGTAGTTTTTTTTCTTTTCACATGTGCGAACGAAGTGCGTATATCATTTTCTTTACTGGGGCTAGACTTGGAGACTCTTCAATACGTAAAACAACAAATATCTCGACCTATACGTCCTCGCACACTGTTTGCTTCGGTTTTGCTCACGAACAAGTCGCGCAAGCGGCAGGACTCGTCCTGGGCGCTTGATGATGACACGTGCAGGACGCGCGAAGCACGTGTTGACGCACGCGTGTTGGGTGACACCGGTGGGAGACTACGCGAAGCGCGTGTGAACGACTCACACGTCACCTCGGGTGATGACATGCGCTGTTACCTCTGTATTTCAGTTCGCACTGTCCACCGTGCCATACAAGTTGTCCAGCGAACAACTTTGCCGCTGACAGAAACCGAACTTGCTAATATGAAGGTTGCTAGTGCGGTGTACACCAGCTGCGAGTCATTTTTAACAAAGAACCATTTTAGGAAATCGTTCCTGGTTCGTACCATAACCCCCCCCCCCCCGCCAAAAAAAAAAGTAAATGGGTATACGCCACAGAATTTTGGTATAAATCCCATACTCACCACTTGGCCACTATACACCAATGAAGAAAGTGACAGTGAGCCCATTTCACTGGCATGTGCTACAAGAATTCGCACGGCCTATCGAAAAACCATGTAGCGCGTACGAAATTGCGTAGCCGGGTCCAAAAATTTGCGTGTGAGTATGTGTGTTGAGAACTTAGGCCTCTAATTGCTCGAAAAATGGCTCAAAGGCTTGAACTAAGCCGCACAACGCTGGATACACAGTGAAGCTGATCGGTCCGACGTGTCGTGACAGGAAATTTCTATCCCGCAACAGTCATGTTCAAACCAAGTTCAAGCAGAAGTTCAAGCGAAAATTTAAGCAAAAGTTCTGCCTGCATACAGCAACGAATAAGCACGAGACCGATCAGCTTCGCCGCGTAGGGAGCATTGCGTGACTTAGTGCAGTATTTGAGCCATTTTTTCTTCGTCAACATGCATTCTCTTCCGTTTGTGTCATAATTACTACTGTATGTGAGTGATTTTAAGCGAAAAGAAGAGAAAAGTGAGCCCCGTAACTGTCTCTCAGGGGGAGGACACCTCCACAGTAGCTCACGAGGGGGGGGGGGGGGTAAAGGAGGGAATAAAAGGATAGAATTAAAAGGTAAAGAGATAGAGAGAGTTAGGAAGGAGAGAGCGAGGCACAAGGACAGCGAACGACAGAAAACGGCGGAAGTAAAGAGGAGACAGGAAAGATGGACACGGTCGCATGAGTCCGAGGACGGGGCACCACTCAGCGAGTGCTCATGTCGGCGAGGAAAGATGGACAC